GGGGTAATTCTTTACCCTGCTTTTTCTTTTGAATTTTAGTTGCTATTCTGTCCTCGTGTTACAATACCCCTACCATTCGATTTTCAGACAATTTAAATATTTTGTATAACAAACTTTTAAAAATCAGGGGGGGATTAAAAACTTATTTCCTTCACGGGTGTTATTTTAAATTTTATTTATATATAATTTAAATTAATTTAAAACTATAATATATTAAACTAAAAACTTATTCATAATTTAGGCCAAAAGGGTAATTCTGTTTCTGTCTTTGGAAAGAAAATGCCAATAAGGATTTTTTTGGTTTTATTTGATTATAGGTCACAAACTATGGTATGGTAATAAATTTATGCCATTTTTTAGATACGGCACTCGCTGGTTTAACTTCATTTGCACGGTCTGCAATGCTGAAAATAAAAATTAAATTTATGCCGTTTTTTTCCCCCAAAAAATAGAGGTTTCTTTTGGGGGGTATTTTTGACACCTCGGGGTTTTTTTTTTTTTTTTTTTGGCTAAAGCAAAAACAACGGGAATTTTTTTTAAAAAAAAAATATTTTTCTCATTTTGGTTAAACAAAAAAACCTAAAAACTAAAAGTTAGTCAAAATTTAAGCCAAAATGTATTTTGTACAGTTTTTGGGTAAAAAAAAAAACCCCAAAAGTGTTTTTAAAATTGGGTTTGTGTGAAATTGTACCCTTTTAATCTACAAACAAAATGGTAGGATACGGAATTACTTTCTCTGCCTATCACATTTCTTGAGGTGGTAAAATCCAGGCACTACAAACACCCCCAAAATGACCCCCTTTTTGGAAAGTAGACACCGTAAGCTATCTGAAGAGAGGCTGTTAAATCCCATGGAAGATTTTTTTTCCCAATTTTTTTTTTTTTCTCACAAAATGCCATGGGGTATTTTAAAATTACACCCCAAAATTATTATGCTCCCTTCTCCGGAAATGGAGATATCCGGGTGTGAGACTTTTTGGCAGCTTAGCCGAACAGGACTCGAGAGAAGACCCTGACACCGAACCAACACGCCCCTTCCCCCACCACCAAAGAGAGCTTGGACACAGGACCAATACAAACACCCCCAGCGGACCCCCACCCTCACCCGAGAGAGCTGTCCACTACTCCCACCCCCGGCAAGAGATAAGACACTCACCTTCCACAGCTCCGGATATCCCCGGGAACAAGAGTCGGGCTCTGCATACACCATCAAACAGCCCGCAGCCTCTCTCAGATCCCACCTGGTACCCCATGCTGTGTGTGTCCCTTCTTCCTTTCCTTCTTTCGGGGACAGCGCTGCCTCTCTGAAAAATGCTGCTGCCCCCCTGAAAAATGCTGCCCTAGGCAAATGCCTTGTGGTAAATACTCCCCTGTCTCACTTCCTCTCTACCTATCACAGTTTCAGAGGCCCTGGAATTCCAGGATAACACAATCCCCTCACTAAATGACTCCTTTTTGGAAAGTAAACACCCCAGACTATTTGCTGAGAGGCATGTTGAGTCAATGGAATACTTTATTTTTTACCACAAGTTTTTGGAAAATGACAAAAAAAATGTTTTTGTTACACAAAGTTTGTCACTTGACTGATATATTGCTCACACGTGCCATGGGTTTATACACCCCAAATTACAAATTCTGCTACTTCTATTCTACCAAGTATGGGGATACCACATGTGTGAGACTTTTTGGGAGCCTAGCCCACATACAGCGAGCCCAAAATCCAAAGGACCACTTTGAAAGCCTGAAGGTGAGTAACTTTCTCATTTCACCTCCTCACTACCTATCACAGTTTTGGAGGCCCTGAAATGCCAGGATAACACAAACCCCCCCCCCAACTTAAATTACCCTTTTTGGAAAGTAGACACTCCAAGGAAATTTAATAAGAGGCATGGTGAGTATTTTGCAGATCCCATTTTTTTCTCACAAGGTGTCTAATTTCCAAAAAAGGGTCATTTGAGGGGGGATTGTACTATTCCAGCATTTCAGGGCCTCCAAAACTGTGATAGGTAGTCAGGAATTGTAATGAGGAAATAAAGCCCTTTAAAAGCCTGAAGCCTGAAGGTGCTTATTGGATTTTGGGGTCCATTACGCAGCTAGACTGCCAAAAAGTCTCTCACATGTGGTATTCCCATACGCGGAAAGTAGCAGAATGTATTTTGGGGTGTAATTCCATATATACCCATGGCATGTGTGAGCAATATATCAAGTGACAACTTTGTGTAAAAAAAATAAATAAATAATTTTTCAAAAACGTGTGGTAAAAAATACATTCTTCTATTGACTCAACATGCCTCTCAGCAAATAGTTTGGGGTAACAACATTCCAAAAATTAGTCATTTGGGGAGGGTTGTTATCTTGGCATTTTATGCCCAGAATTAGAAGCTCATGCCACACATCACTCTTCTAACTACTTGAAGACCAAGCCTTTTCTGACACTTTTTGTTCATATGAAAAAATCTGTATTTTTTGCTAGAAAATTACTTTGAATCCCCAAACATTATATATATATATTTTTTAAAGCAGACACCCTAGAGAATAAAATGGTGCGTGTTGCAGATTTTCATGTCACATAGTACTTGCACAGCATTTTTTTCAAACGCACTTTGTTTTTTTTTTTTCATTTTAATGAGCAAAAATACAATATACTGGCCAATTGTTTGATAAAATGTAAAAGATGATGGTATGCTGAGTAAATAGATACCAAGCATGACATGCTTTAAAACTGTACACGCCCCAGGCAATGGTAACAAAATTACATACATTTTTTAATATCCATAGGTGAGGCTACCATTTTAGATTTAAACAGGAGGTCTAGTGCTAGAATTACTGCCCTCGATCTGTCGTTCGTGGTGATATCTCACATGCATGGTGCAACCGCTGTTTACATACCGACACAGGGTCGATGCTTGCGTACGATGTTACACGTACATGTGGGGGGGATGAGAGTGTTTTTTTTATTTTGCTTTTTTTAAAAAATTTTTACACTGTCCTTTTCATTTTTTTTAATCACTTTTTTTTTTATCACAGGGAATATCAATATCCCCTGTGATAGCAATAGGCAGTGACAGGTAATCTTTTCTGAGAAAATTTGGGGTCCTTTAGACTGTAGATATCTCCTCTGCCCTTAAATCATTTGACCTCACCAAGTTCGGTGTGATCAGATGTTTTCCCAACTTAAAAAATGGCCATTCCAGTCTCTAATCAGTTCTGTGGTCAGCTGGCAAAAATGTTGGCTGCATTTTCAGGTTCCCTGATGGCATGGGACTGCCAGAGAAAGTCATGGAAGGCAGCGGGAGGGAATGGGGGGGGCATCTCCTCCCACTGCTTGTAAAAGAAATCCTGCAGCTAGTTAGCCACTAGGATTGCTTTTAAATGATCACCGGCTGAAAAAAATTATACCAGGATGATGCCTGCAGCTGTAGGCATCATTCTGGTATAACCACTCAAAGTCCAGTGATTATACCAGTACATGTCTTTGTTGGATATATATGTTATGCTCTCTTTTCTGCAGCCTGTGGGCTGGGAAGACATCTTTGACAGAAAAAGTGTGTGGTATGCCCACCGTTAGAATACACTGCCCTGCAACCACCCACTTCTAGTGGTGGGCTCACGAGTTGAACGAAAAAAAAAAAAGAACCTAACAGATTCCTCTATTCACATTGATCAATGTGGATGAAGAAAAATTTTAAAATTATATGCCAATCCACCCACTGATCACCCCAGTCCCCCATATTTGAGCATATGTGTTCTTTTTTTAACTTGAAAAATCTCATCCAACAGTGCTGCACACACTTATATTCTGAGAGCAAGACCCTGTTGCTGTCAGAATAAACAGATCGGTGCTGCAGCTGAATGGCATTCCTGCAAAGAAAACAGCAATGGTTAAAAATAAAATACTAATTCAATAAAACAACTTTTTTTTATTGAAACCAGTGCCAAAAAAAACATTGTAAAATATACACTATATTGCTAAAAGTATTGGCCACATCCCTTCAAATAATTTGATTCAGGTGTTGAAATCACCTCCATGTCCACAGGTGTATAAAATCAAGTACCTAGGCATGCAGACTGCTTCTACAAACATTTGTGAAAGAATGGGTCGCTCTCAGGAGTTACATGAATTCAAGCATGGTGCTGTGATAGGTTGCCACCTATGCAATAAGTCCATCAGTGAAATGTCCTTGCTACTAAATATTCCACGGTCAACTGTTAGTGGTATTATAACAAAGTGGAAGCAACTGGGAACAACAGTAACTTGGCCACGAAGTGGTAGACCAAGTAAAATGACAGAGCGGGGTCAGCACATGCTGAAGCGCACAGTGCACAGAAAAATCACCAACTGTCTGAAGAATCAATAGCTAAAGACCTCCAAATCTTATGTGACCTTCAGATTAGCATAACAACAGTGCGTAGAGAACTTCATGGAATGGGTTTCCATGGCAGAGCAGCTGCCTCCAAGCCTAACATCACCAAGTGCAATGTAAAGCGTCGGATGCAGTGGTGTAAAGCACGCCGCCACTGGACTCTAGAGCAGTGGAGATGCCTTCTTGTCTGACATTAGTGCCTGACCTCACAAATGCGCTTCTAGAAGAATGGTCAAACATTCCCATAGACACACTCCTATACCTTGTGGACAGCCTTCCCAGAAGAGTTGGTGTCCCAATACTTTTGGCAGTACAGTGTATATGCTGAATCATAGGATCAATCCACCTACTGGCCACCCCAGTCCCCCATGCTTGGGCATATATGTTCTTTTTTTAACTGGGGATCAAAAAATCTCACCCCGAAGCACTGCACATACTTGTTTTTTTAATTTTCTTTTCTGTTTTTTTTTTTTACCTTTTTTTTAACCGCTTAAGGACCGCCCTATAGCAGAAATACTGCTACAGCGTGGCAACTGTGTGTAAAATCACGTATATACAGTATACGTGACTTTGCATTTCCGGGTAGGGGGCGCGTGCGCCCTATCCGTGCTACCATTTGCAGCCACGGATGTCAATCACTGGGTCCTGGTCGGTAATTACCGACAGTCACCAATGGGGAGGAAGACTGTTTTGGTTACAGTCTTCCTTCCTGTCAGCTCGGGCACACTGCTCAGGGTGGCTGTGCACAGCACAGCCATCCCGATCAGTGTGCTTACAGTACAGCACACACTCCTCCCCGCTCCCTAGTAAAAACACTCCCTGCACATAGTTAACCCTTTGATCACCCCTCACATTAGCCCCATCCTACCCAGTGCCATTAGTATAGTGTCAGTGCTTTTTATTAGCACTTATCACTGTATTGGTGTTACTGGGGATGTCTGTGACACCAAGTTAGTTCCCCCCAGTGTCAGAATGTCCGCCGCAGTCCCGCAGCCCCGCTAAAAGTCACTGATCACTGCCATTACTAGTTGAAAAAAAAAAAATCCTAGTATCTTTACCGCTATTTGTAAATGCTATAACTTTCAGGTAAACTAATTAATTTACACATACTGGGATTTTTTTAGCAAAGACATGTAGCAGGTTACATTTTGGCCAAAATTTATGACGAAATTAGATTTTTTTAAAATTTAAAAATACAAAGGCTATCAAATACCACCAAAAGAAAGCTCAATTCATGAGAAAAAAAGGATGTAAATTTCATTTGGGGTGCAGCGTTGCATGACTGCACAATTGTCAGTTAAAGTAACGCAGCTAAACAAAATAATAAAAGGAAAAAAGCGCCACTTTTAACAACAAACTATGTGTCAGTCGCAATTCCCTACCAAAAAAAATAAAAAATATATAATTTGGCACAAGTGAACAATTATATCATAAGGGTATGCACTATTAATAAATTATATAAATATATCTATCACCATATATAAAGTGACCAAAAAATAAATAAATAAATAAAAATATCCAAAAACCATATGGTGTGTGAAAAAAAAAACAAAATATAAATATATCTATTAGTGTCCAAAAATAATTATCTTCAGTGACTTCATAACACTGTGACAAATCCACCACCAAAAACGATTAAATGAACTCACCAGAGCTATTTGCTGGTCAAATTATAAACCAACAATAGCGCTTGTGCTCTGGGAGCGATGAATAATGATGTCCAATTAGTAGATGTAGTAATACTCAATCACTTTCCAAGTAATCAATAATAGTAAGCAGCCTGAGGAATACTATATCCCGATCATAGAAAATACTCTGCAGCCAAGGATCTCATGGGAAATTTCTCCACTCCATTTCATACCTCCATATATACATGCAGCACAAAACAAGGTGTCCAGACAGACACCAGCTTAAATCGCAATGCTCAAAGAGGTGAGGTACAAATACCGCTCACCGCGGATCACCTCCACCAAACAATGGACAAGGAGCGTTCTGACATCCGCATCGAGTAGGCCACGCCCGACGCGTTTCGTCGGGCGTGGCCTACTCCCGATAATATTTACATGCAGGGGAAATAGGAATTAGGTCATCTATTCCTTTCTTTTGTGTGTACATTAATGATTGTTTTTTATATATATTTGGTATTTGATATATATTTTATCTTTATGAGAAGAGTGATGCTTTAAATTGTGTGTATGGCCCTTTAATGTTGTTACAAGCTGGGGAGAGTCATGCACACGGTAAAGTGTATTGAATTTTTGTATGTTTGTGTGTGGGTGGCCCTTCAATGGTGTTTGAACTGTGAAGGGTCAGACACACAAGGTTTAGATTCAGCCATTTATTCATCCTATCTACATTCGTGTGGAGGGGATTGAATGGAGAGTTCTAATGACCTGATTAATCGAGCGGTGGAGTGGAGTGAGACAGCGCCGCGGTGATTGGCGGGTCATTAGCATTATGTAAATG